AGCAGTAGTAGTAGTAGTAGTAGTAGCAGCAGCAGTAGTAGTGGTACTGATAGTAGTATTGGTAGTGGTAGAAGTAGAAGTAGTAGTAGTAGTAGTAGTAGTAGTAGTAGTAGTAGTAGCAGTAATAGTAGCAGTAGTAGTGGTGGTGGTAGTAGTAGTAGTAGTAGAAGCAGTAGCAGTAGCAGTAGCGGTAGCAGTAGCAGTAGCAGTAGTAGTAGTAGTAGTAGTAGTAGTAGTAGCAGCAGGAGTAGTAGTAGTAGTAGTAGTAGTAGTAGTAGTAGAACTAGAACTAGAACTACTAGTACTACTAGTAATAGTAGTAGTAGTAGCAGTAGTAGTAGTGGTACAGCAGCAGCAGCAGTAGTAATAGTGGTAGTGGTAGTCGTCGTCCGACTCGCAGGATCACGGGGCAGTTCAGGTTTGATGCTTCTGTGCCTTTGTCGAAATCCACGACAGCAAATATCAAAGTTGAGGCTGCGTGTTTTGTATTTTGAAGGTGTCTAGCGCCTACTGGCCTGGCCAGGAAAAGCAAGCCTAATGTCTTGCGGCCTCTAACGGTGCAGACGAAGAAAACAGTCCAGTACTCTGCAGTTCCTAAGTTGTTGGCGCTGACACTCGGACACTCCAGATCTGCAGGGCTTAGGGAGTTTGGTTTCGAAGCACTCAATTGGCACTCATTACACGGCACCACGCACCGTTTGCGAATAAGCACATGGAACAGCCCGCTTGCATCTTTCCTATTTGAGGAGGTACTATCATGCTACACGGGTGTGGCTGTGGCGGATCTGCGCCTGCTCCTGCTCCAAGTCGATGCCTCGAAAGGAATGCAGTGGACTCTGGAAGTCTTTGGTGGGAGCAGAATGTCACGCTGAATTCTGCAGCAGAGGTTTGGGTCTGGGGAGGATTCAGATTCCAAACAGACTGCATTTCCAGATCGCATTGGGGGGACAATGCCGCTGCATTCGGAGCACTCTTGGCGTGGCAGAGCTCTCGGATCTTGGTGATCATCCTCAGATGCGCCAGCAATAGATCAGCCAACGGCAGGTTTAATTAGACCTGCCTCCAACCAAAAGCTTCCCCCTTTTCGAAAGAAGTGTCGTCGTCATGGCCGGCCGGCTGCCAGGTTTGACTCCCATGCAAACGCGCACGAGCTCCACGACCTGTTGGGAACCGAGCTTGTTCGCCAATTGTCGGCATCGCTGGAGCACTTACGTTGCGTATGTTGCCACGCATGTTGATCTTATGCTTGCTGCTTTGCAGGTCAGAGCTCCTCGCTTCTTTGGCCTCGGACGCCCCGATCTTAATTCTTGAATGAGCTCCTGGGCTCAGCTGCTAAATCTGCAGGAAACGTGCAGCGCTTCAGAAGCCATTCCCGGCAACCAGCACCCAAACCAGTGGCCCGAAACCGTCAATTCAGATGCACGGAAAAAAACGGGGGCCTCGGTGTCCATCTCCGATGGGAATCGCGGAAGCTGGCCTCTGTGGCACTTGTAGTCTGCCTATGCTTCTTGAATGGAGATTCTCAGAACATTGATAGCTGTTGCGAGTGTCTTCGTCGTTCGATGCTCGATTGCCAGATGGCATAGAGGCGAAAGGGGCACCAAAGACAAATCGCATCCGATCTGTAGAAATTTTCCCCGGTGTCCCAAGCTCCTGAAGGCTGAACTCCAAGCCCTGGCTTTCCAAGACCCCCGAACCCCAAATAGTTTGGCCCGACATTTCAAGGCGTCTCTCCACAGTATCATCTGACAACTTGCCGCACTGGGTGCAGGCCCGACGTGTCAAGGAACCGCTAAAACCAATGTGCCTACGCTGAGCTTTGGGGTTCTGACTGTGGCCCATCATGCAGCCTGGGGGATGCCGGGGGCTCCGTGCGAAAACAGATTACGTAGCATTGGGCCAGGTCGGTACGCACAAAGACGGCCATGCAGTGAGATCCAACATCTGAAACCCAAGACTCAGCTGACCCAATGTCAAACTCTACAACCCCCGGCTTGATGAAAGCTGCAAGGATGCCTTTGGCTTTGACGCGGGGCAGCTGCATCTGCGTAACATCCTGCTCTCCGGCCACCAGAGACACAAACACATGTATGCATTTATCTAATGTATTTTGGCCCGCATTTATCTAATGTGTGCATGTATGTACCTTGGCGGCTCTCAGGCTGAAGGATCCCTTCGAGCCTTGGACATCGTTCCTTTAAACCGTTTTAAACCTCCGTATCAAGTACGGCTTGTGGCCCAGAATAGACGCTACATGCGGACCGGTGGATGCGATGCATGTGAGACTGCGGCACTGGTGCTTGGATACTTCTTCGTGCATGATTGTCGCACTTCTCTCGGTCACTCGCGTGCTCCCCAGCATACTTGCTCGGAGAAGCACGGGTGGAGGAAAACACGAATGTCGTTGAGCTCTGAGATGTTTGGCCGCATTAGTAAGGCGGAGCTTTCCACTTTCATGCTGCAGTCGCGTTAAGTCATGTGGAAACATAAAAAATCGCCAAAGGCACCGCATAGGGCAGCTTCCGTGTCGAGAGTTCGAAGAGAATGACCCCAAAGGAGTAGACGTCAACCTTCTCCGTAACGCCTCCGGCTGCGCTGGGAAGGAAAACAGACAGCCAGACCCTGGTGAGAAAACGCAAACAGTGCCGGAGCAATTGATACTACGATCATCTACCAACATCTAACTCTTCGCACAGACCGCAATGAGAACACAATTGTTCAAGCGCTTCTTGTGGAGGAGCTTGCATCGAGAAAGAGTAGCTACATAACCGCAGCCCCACAGAAAGCTCCGTGGAAGCAATGACTACTACGATCATTATTCTCCTTACTTACTGCTACTGGTAATATTACTTGTCTATTTTTGCTATGAGTAGTCTTTTGATTCTTCTGATGTATGATCATGATTATTGGTGTTATTCTTCGATGTAAATTGTTGCTACTATTCTTGCTGCTAATGGAGCCTCCCCCTTTGTCATCAAAGATCTCAGGGGGAGCCCAGATCGGTGACACGCCCCGGAGCGTTGTTTGCAGAGCTGTCCTCGCTCGCGTTCCGGGCTTGAAACTTACGGTTTTAGGGTCCAGGGCTCAAAAGGTTTAGGGTTTTTCGACTCTCGCACTAGCACACAGGATTTCGGGTAGGTCGAATTCTCAGGGTTTGTGAGTTTAGGTCTTCAGGGACATGTAGTAGTCTCAACAACCAAAACTCCCACATCCCTTGTCCAACAGCAAGAGGAGTGAGATCTTGAGAGTGGAAAGGTTCTCGGATATGAGCGTGCACCCACGTGTGCCGCAGAAGTTGTCGCTAGAAGGTGGTGGCGACAGAAACGCCAAGCGTAGTCGTCGTTGTCTCGTCGCCGTCGTCGTCGCGTCGTAGTCTGGGTCGAAATTTGGGTCGCAATGGTGGTAGTAGTTGCCGTCGTCTTCGCGGTAGCGGCGGCAGCAGCAGCAGCGGTAGCGGTAGCGGTTTCGATGTTGGCAGTTGTGCGGGCCGTGGTCGTGGCATGCTGGCGGCAGCAGAGGCAGCTGTAGTGGTAGTGGTCGTTGTGGTAGAAGTGGCAGAAGTAGTGGCGGCAGGAGTAGCAGTAGCAGTAGCAGTAGCAGTAGCAGTAGCAGTAGCAGTAGTAGTAAGTCGTCGTCGTCGTCGTCGTCGTCGTCGTCGTCGTCGTCGTCGTCGTCGTCGTCGCAGTCGTAGTCGTAGTCGT